GAAAAATACAGAACATACAAAATGCATATTCTGGTGTGAAAAGGAAACAGGGGGACCGCCGGGTGGGGGACAAAAATCCGACACACGTATCACTGTCCCTGCAAGAGCGAGATGATATGCTTTTCAATCAGCCGTTGACTGGCACGGGAACGACGTTGAATGGCGAAATCTAGAGCCGTCCAACCGTCCGCATTCATGGCCGTAATATCCGCACCCCAGTCGAGCAGGAGTGACACAATCGCCGCATTATTGTTGTACGCGGCGAACATGAGTGCCGTGTTGTACAACTCATCGGACTGATCAACTGGGAATCCAGCACGAAGTAAATAGTGCACGACATCGTAGTGACCACGACAAGCGGCTAACAACAGGCCCGTCTCGCCGTTATCTCCGGTAAGGAGCATATTGGCACCGTGATACAGTAAGAGCTCAACCGCACCCTTCTGCCCATTTGCACAAGCCCATAGTAATGGTGAAAATCCCTGACAAAAGAGGTAAACATTAAAAAATATTAAAGAATTAGTGTGAAGCCCAAAAATGGCCAAGTTCCAAATCGATCAATATTCAAGCCCACGGGTTCAACCTGCTGTTCGCAGTGATAATAGTTATGATATAAATGCAATTTATATAACAAAAGTGTGAACAAAGTAGTTCAATGATGAAGATTTTACATTCTCATGATTGAGTATTTACGAATGACCGCTCACGGCAAGACAAATTAGAAAACAGATTCGTTTTTAGTGTGATTTGGAGTGTCTGAATGCGGCACGCATAACGGTACGTCGGTTACCCCACTCCTTCACACGTGCCACAGCTATTGATGCAGAGAGTACTATGAGACATCTAGTTTTATTTCTCAATGTGCAGCCGTACCATTCAATGCAACGCTTGTGACTGCTGTCCCAAACTAAAAGCATTCGAAAAACCGAGCCGAAGAGCAACAACAAATTGGAAGTTCTATCGTGTTGGCAACTGGATAGAGTTCGTGTACAAATAACCGCTGACCCCGTCGACAACGGTAGCCAATCAAACAATGGTTTGGTCCATCGAACCCCAACACAAAGCGATTACAGCTCTATGATATTCTGGCCTCCTCATCATCACAAACACCATTATAACCCTCGCACATTGAAATACAATGAAGTGAAACTCACCGGTCTCCGCTAAACTTCCAAAATACACAGAGCAAGTACGAGTCCGTAAGGTGGATGTAGTTTGATGAAAGCGACGGTGAACATTTACGGTCAACACAAAGAGTACACATTCTAGTAGCGTATGCTTCAAGCTTTTAAACTAATGAAGAATGACAACAAGAACGTCACTGCAGTCAGGTGGCCATATGATTCAATGTCTCCAACTAACCAATTGCAGTCTTTTGCGCCTCAAGCTCGAAAGTGAGATAGCTACTCTACCTGCTTGCATTATGCACTTCTTCATACTTCGTCTCCACCTCGTCTGTTGAGATCCACGTTATTTTCTGCAAACAGGCATACCGAATTCAAATGATAAAGGTACAGTTAAAACGGTTGTTATGCGTGCGTAACACCTGCCTTAAACAGTGAAGCCTAATAATCTGAATCTGGTGTGACAACGAATTTTCTACCGAAACACCCGATCATATGGCGGCTTATCTCAGTGTTACTCATCGGCTCATTTTACGTTACACACCAAAAAGAGCGAACTTCAAAGTCCGAAAGTATCCACTAAATGGATACCTTCCTCACCAAGACACAAGGTCTCAAAAAAGCACTGCTCGCATAGTGACACAATATCCGCAACTCTTCAGCTTTAAGGA